TCCTGCTGCATGTTGCAATTTGAACCCCACAGAGGGGATTCCTGCTGCTGTGTGTTGCAATTGAAACCCCACAGAGGGGATTCCTGCTGCGTGCAGACCCACTCTTGTCCTTCTTAGAACCATAGGATGGCTTGGGTTGGAAGGGACCTCGAGGATCACGAAGCTCCAACCCCCCTGCTGCATGCAAGGCCACCAACCTCCATATCAAACACTGCACCAGGCTGCCCAGGACCCATCCAACCTGGCCTTGAATCCAGGGCTGGTTGGGGCACCCACAGCCTTGCTGTGCAGCTGTTCCAGCACCTCACTGCTCTCATAGTAAAATACTTTCCCCTGACATCCGACCTCAATGTGCCCTCCTTCAGCTTCAAACCATTTCCCCTGGTCCTGCTGTTATCCACCCTCTCAAAGACTCGACTCCCCACCTGTTTATAGGCTTCCTTCAGGTACTGGAAAGCTGCACTGAAGAGCAGCCTCCTCTTCTCCAGGCTGAATAAACTCAGCTCCCTCAGCTTGTCTTCATATGGAAGGTGCTGCAGCCTCTGCCCATCTCAGTGCCCTTCCTCTCCAACAGCTTTATTTTGCATTCAGACCCCCACACCTGGCTGCAATACTCCAGATGAGGCCTCACAAGAGCAGAGCAGTGGAATTGACCCCCTCTCCGTCCCCCATCCCAGGATCCCATTTGCTTTCCAAGCTGTAATCACGCACTGCTGCCTCACGTTCAGCTTTTCACCCCCAGGATCCCTCAGGGCTGCTCTCCAGAACTGCTCCTCTCACTCTGCACCTGGGATTCCTCTCTCCCAAATGCAAAACTTTGCATCTTCCTGTGTTGAACCTCATTAGATTCACCCAGCCTCAACTTTTGGTGGCGTCCCTTCCTTCCATGGTGCCAGCAATGCTTTCTGCCCTGTAGGTTTTCAGCTGAATGCCAGGCGTGGGATGAACTCCTGCAGCGCTACCAGAAGGATGCAGAGGAAACATCCAGGTATGAATTGTGGCAAAACCTTTGGATGGAAAAATAAAATAAAATAAAATAAAATAAAATAAAATAAAATAAAATAAAATAAAAGCAGAATTGTCCTTTGTGCAACGGAGAAATGCTTTGTCTTCCAGGCAGCTGGAGGAGTGCAGGAGCAAACAGGGCCGGGAAGAGCCTCCCAATTACCTGCAGACATCGCAGGCCGAGGTGCTCAGCACCAAACCTAATTACCAGAGGATGCTGGATGAGCAGGGAGAGGTGCTGAGCTGCATGGAGCTGGTGGTGAGTCCCCTGTCAAAGCGTGGGTTCGTTCGGAGCGAGAAAAGTTTGCCCTTTAATTAATGATAATTGGGGTGGGTTTTACTGGGTGATGTCAGACATCCTTAAAGCAGAAGGATCGGCCCCAGGAACATTGGCAGCTTCTCCCTACCACAGGCTCTGTTTCATCCTCTTAATAAACACCTTGCACTTAATGCATCTCTCTGCTTTTCCCCTTGGCAATTAACGGCGTGAATAATTAACGGTGCTTTTTTTTTTTTTTTTTAATTATTGCTGTTTTACAGCTCGATGAAATGCAGCAGGCGGCGAAATTGGTGCGGGCTTTCAGTGAGGACAGCAGGGAGTACCTGCGGGGGCTGTCTGAGCAGCTGGGTGAGCTCAGGGCCCCCCCAGTGTGTCCCCATGGGGGGGTGGCACTGTGTCCCTATGGGGGGTGGCACTGTGTCCCTTTGTGGGTGGCATTGTGTCCCTGGGGGGGCGTGAGGAGGGGGGTGACACTTTGTCCCCATGGGGGTGATATTGTGTCCCTGTGTGGGTAACATGTCCCAATGGGGGATGATGCTGTGTCCCTTTGGGGGTGGCATTGCGTCCCCATGGTGTGACGCTGTGTCCATGGGGTGAGTGACGCAATGTGCCAAGGTGGGGTGACATTGTGTCCTTGTGTGGGACCCTGTATGGGTGACACTTTGTCCCCATGGGGGGTGATGTTGTGTCCCAATGTGGAGTGACTATGCCTCAGGATGGGAGGGGGGGGTGACACTGTGTCCCTTTGTGGGTCGCATTGTGGGCCTGGGGGGGGGGGGGGGGGGGATGTGGAGTGGGGGTGACACTTTGTCCCCATGGGGGGTGATGTTGTGTCCCTGTGTGGGTGACGTTGTGTCCCCATGGAGTGATGCTGTGTCTCAGTGGGGGGGTGACATCGCATCCCTATGGGAGGTGACATCGTGTCCGTGCCTGGTTGATGCTGCATCCCATTAGAGGCGACTCAGCTCTCTGTGCCCATCTCCTGCAGCCGCACGGACCTTCCGCCAGCTGGAAAACTCACCGGTGCGGAAGCTGATCGCAGCCCCGGGCCGGAAAGCACCGCCGGAGGGCTGAACGGAGCTGAATGCGGCGCTGCGGGTGCGGCGCTCCCAATAAACGGCCCCGAGTGGGCGAAGTGCGCATGCGCGCCGTCTCCGCCTGCTTCCCGCTTCCGCGTTTGAAAGCGTTGGGGGAGGGCGTTCAAGGCAATGCTTTTCGTTGGTCGCTCCGCGCGTCGCTCGAAACGCGGCCTCCAATCATTTCGTTCCGCGCTCTGCGCCAGCCAGTAGCAGAGCGAGGAGCGCCGCGGTGACGCTCCGCCCCTTTTTACCTCAGCGAGGAGGCGGCCATGATGGCGGCGGCGGCGGAGGAAGCTGCTCCGCTGAGCGGTGTGGGCTGGGCGGCGGGACCCGAGGCGGCTCCAGCGGGCTGGAGCGTGGTACGATGGGAAGCCGCGGCCCGACGGGAGGCTGCAAGACGAGGGTGAGGCTGCAATTCGAGGGGAAGCTCCGATGCGGCCCGGCCCTCACCCTGTGCGCACCCCACAGATCACCACCAGCGTCGAGGGCAGCGCTGCCAACCTGGGTAAAGGCTTCGGACACAAGGGCGGGTACCTGTGTGTGAGCACCGCAGCTCCGGTACGGTGAAAATGGGGCAAAATCGGGCGGTGGGGCGGATCCAGGGGTCCCTCCTGTGCTCTGGGCCCGATCCCGCGGCCCCTCCTGAGCTCTGGGCCCCTGCAGGGCTCGGCTGGCTCTGTGGTGACCGACGTCCTGGTGCTGAGCGACCGAAGTCCGCAGCCCACGGGCTACAGCCGCGCCCCCGAGTTCCCGGAGCCTCGTAAGTGCCTTTGGGAGGAAGCTGTGGGGTTTGGCGGAGCTCCGTCCTCATTTGTGGGCTCCTGTTTCATCCCCCAGGTTCCGGTGCATCCCGTAAGAAGAGGCTCTATGTGAGGTTGCAGCCCCGTGTGGCTGCTGAGACGGCTGTGTTTGACATCAAACTGAGTGGGAAGAGTAGAGCTGTGCCACAGTACATGAAGATCGGGTAAAGGAAGAAACCAAACCCCCCAGCCCCCCAAAACACAAAATAAATGCACAAATAATGGGCTGCCTGCCACCGTTTGGCCCTATTCCCCCCTTCTTCCTGCGTTCTCACCCTTTTTCCTGTTCCAAAATGTTCCATTTCCCCATTTTTGTTGTTTTTAACCATTTTTTTTTCTTCCTCTAGGGAAATCGGTAGCTTTGCCATCTGGTGTAAGAAAGGAACTCTTCCTAAATGCAGCCCTCCTGTCCCCAAGCCCAGAACAGTTAGCCTGGGGCTGAAGCAGCTCTCCTTGGCTGACTCTGAACAGCAGTACGTATACATTGACCTCATCTCCTACCTGGGGCTGGGAGCAGGTCCTGCTGCTAGTGGTGTTAAGGCTTTGTGGCTCATTACCTGTTAATGAGAGTCAGCTGTGTGCTGACTAAATGAGCAGTGTCCAAATGAGGGACACCTGGGGAAAAACAGCTGTAAGCATTGGTCTGAATTGGGACTGAGCTGATGGGAAAGAGCTCTGTGGGGAAGGACCTGGGGGGTCCTGGTGGCCAAGAAGGCCAACAGAACCCTGGGATGCTTTGCCCAAAGCGTGGCCAGCTGGGTGCTCTGCACTGGGGAGGCCCCATCTGGAGCACTGGGCCCAGTGCTGGGCTGGGCTCCTCAGGCTGATGGGGAACTGAGCCCAGCGCAGGCTGCAGAGATGCTGGGGGCCTGTAGTACCTGGTGGGGACAGGCTGAGAGGCCTGGGGCTGTGCAGCTGGGGAGGAGAAGGCTGAGAGGGATCTGAGAGGGTGGGGGCCAGCAGGATGGGGCTGGGCTGCGTTTGGTGGTGCTCAGTGACAGGGGGCACAAAGCAGAGATCAGGGATTTCCATCTGAGCAAGAAAGACAAGTTCTGTGCTGTGTGAGTGGCAGAGCCCTGGCACAGCTACCCAGAGAGGTGGTGGGGTGTCCTTCCACAGAGAGATTTGGACCTACCTGGATGTGACCCTGGGCACTGTGCTGCAGGGATAGGGAACTGCTTTAGGGGAAGTCAGACTGGGGGAGCTCTAGAGGTCCCTTCAGCCCCTGTGGATCTGTCATTCCATGATATTAATTCCATAGGTCACCAGAGAAGCCCGTGGCTCGCTCTGCCTCCAGGCGTGCTTCCTTCACACTGCACAACTCGGCTGATGACGGCTCCAGCATCTACAACCTCTCAGGTACCCGTTCCTCTGTACCATAAAGCTGCACAAAGCAACTTCCCCTGCTGAAGGAGTTCTGTTCCTTTTAAACACTGGAACACAGATTGTAGAGCTTTCTCTTAGTGAGCCCTCTTTCTCCTTTCCTGAAAGCCCTCACCTGCTCAACGCAGTGCTGGATTTCAGAGTGGCTCCTTTGTTGCTATTAAAATCTCTGCCCCTTCTCTTTCCAGCGATGGATGGAGTCCCTTTCACACTACACCCCAAATTCGAGCGCAGCCCCAAATCCGACAGCAATGTGAGTGTTCCTTCCAGCTGCTGCCGTTCTGTTATTCCCCATCCCACCTCACAACTAAAAACCCATTTCGTTTCAGGCCATTCTCACTGACCTGACTGTCAAATCGCTCGCTGACATTGAGAAAGAGGTAATTAAACACCTCCTTCTCTTGGGGTGAGTGATGGCAACGCTCTGAATTGCCCAAATCCCACCCTTTTTCTCTGCTCGTTTCCAGTACAACTACACCTTTGTAGTGGAACGGACGGCGGCCGCTCGCCTCCCTCCCTCCATTTGCTGACAGCACTCAGTGCCATGAGGACGTGAAGCACTGACCCTCTCCCTAATTAAGATCCAATTACAGGAAGTGCTGAGGGATGACAATAAAGGCGTTTCTCTCATCGCCTGCCAAAGTATTTTCGTAATGTTTTCGGGACGCACGGCTGCGATAGAGGAGTTCCTGGTGCTGTTGCTTCTGTGATTTGAAGCGTGTGGGGCTGTATGGGTGTGTTTATGACTGTGTTTCTTCTCCTGTGCTTTGACAACACTACAGCTCTGCTCTGAACGTCAACTCCTGCTGCATTTTAGTGTTTCTGGGTGTCACCTTTGAGCCTCATCCTCCCTTCTATGTATACTCCCCATTAAAAATATCACAAAGGAAGTCCCAGCCACATTTCAAAATACTTCAGGCTTGACTTTTTAGTTACCAAATTCTGTAAACGTCTCCTGGAGCGGGGCAGTACAAAACTCCCACCGGGCGCTGCGTCCTGGGAACACCAAAAAGTCATTTCACAGAGGTGATTTCCACGTGAGATGGGAGGAAACTCTCCCCGGAGCTCAAGAGCTGCTCTCAAATCATAGGGATGATTTTTGGGGTGCCCCCCAGCAGGGCCCTGGCGCTGTGTTCACGAAGGCACTTTGAGTTTTGCTCTCCCCAGTAGGAACTGAAGGATGCGGTCCGCCAACAAAGCAAGGAAGAAGTCGGCCAGCAGCACCTCCGTGATAATGATCTTGAACTGGGAAACAAATGCAACAGTGAGCATCAGTCCTCCCTCCATTGCACAAGACCTAAAAGGTGCTGAGCGGTGAACCTCTGCAGCTGCTGCTACTCTGAACGCTGTACTTAAAGCTACTTTCTGCTGGCTGTGAGAGCCTTAACGGTGTGAGGACGGGCTGCAGGGGGAGCACAGCGAAGCACCACACGCTCACCTCAGTAGGGATTTCCACCAGCCCAAACTGTTCGTTGAATTCAGGCGACGAACCCGTGAGCAGCCCCACGATGGCCAACCCTGAGAGGATGATGCTCCACAGCAGCGGTTTGTTCTCCTGCAGGCTCTCCATGAAGGGATGACCCTAAAACGCAGCGGGGAGGAACTGTCAGCAGGTGCTGCTGTGCTCGTGGGACATTTCAGGTTAGGGGATAAGGAGGAGCGTGGGGCACACAGCTTCATCCAACGCGAACCGAAAGTGGGAGCTTTCTTCTGCAGAGCACCGAGCAACCCGTAGGTTGCGATCAGAGAAGAGCAGTGCTTTGTTTCAGTGGCACAATTGCTCCTCTGGATGTGAGCGAAGCGTGGCTTGCCTTGTAGTTGATAGCAAACGTGGCCATCTGCATCGCCATGGACATGATGTACACGGTGCTGTTCACCAGGCTGGGCTCAAACTCCTTGTACAGATCCACAAACTCTTCCCGTCTAAGAAAAGAGCAGAGCTGCAGAGTGGGATCACCACAAGCAAAGCTTCCCCCCAAACTCCCCTCCTCCCCAAACCCCAATTTATTTGGTATTACACACAAATTCAGACGGGCAACAGCGCTCTGCTTTCATAGCACCCTGCTGCAAGCACAGCTCATGGGAATGGCGGCACTGGAAGGGTTGGGAGGAACTGCTGGAGGTCGTCTGTCCAACCCCTCCTGCTAACGTAGGGAACTCTTGGCCACACATCAAAAATCAAGTGGAAAAAATAGGTTTTTTTTTTAAAAAGGCTTTCCAGCAGTGCCTCCGTTGGTGGGTTTTTTGGTGGTTTTTTTTTCCCCAGAGAAAGAGCAGCACGTGCTGGCTTTCTCCACTCTCCTCCTTTGAGAACAGCTCAGATGTGGCTCATGGGGACGTGAGGCGATGGCTGATGACCTTAAGAGGCCTTTGGTAATACTTTGCTAACAACGGCTCTAGGAGGAGCTGCTCCTGTGCTGGAGGAAGGGACACTTACTTGGAACCACTGCGCACCTGGGCACCGCGGTACAGGTAAACGAGGCTGAGGAAATGCACCAGGAACTGCAGCAGCACCGTCAGCACCGTGTAGAGATTGAAGATGTTCGGCAGCGGGCGCTCCTTGGACAGAGTCTTCAAAGGCTGGGAGCAGAAAGCAAGCAGGGTTGGCTACAGAGTTTCAGAACCTACAGAGTTTCAGACCTACAGAGTTTCAGACCTCTCTGTGCAGCTTTCCCCCACTCTGGGTTTGTTTGTTAATTAAAACAAGCTTCATTTTGGAGAGGGGCACTCTTGCAGTAGTCCTGATACAAGAAACACGGACCGGGTGCTGTCCCAACACGCTGCCTTCCCCGTACCTTTGACCTGGAGATGAAAAGGAAGCAGCCAGCCAGCAGCAGCCCCTGCAGGGTGGCCTGGAAGTCACTGAACTTCACCCCTTCCAAGTAGAGGACGCTCTGGCTGTAGGCCAGGATCAGGGCGTTCAGGGCGAGGATCTTGAACATCTGGAGCGTCGTCACGAGCGTGCAGCGACCTTGCTTGATCACGTGGCAGACTGAGGAGGAAGAGGAAGAGGTTGGAAGCGGAACAGAAGAGCTCTGGGGAGGGAGCTTTGTGCCTCAGCCCTCTTCTGAAGCAGTACAGGGGGAAGGATCAGCACGGAAAGACCCCCCCACCACGCAAACAGGCAAAGCTGTCAGTTTGGGAGCGCTTCTCACCGCCCCACGCTCCCCCTCCCCTTATTCCTCAATCCCACTGGTGGAATGGGGACACGTAGAGATCCGCACCACGCACTCAGCTCCCGCCTGCACTTACTGCACTGGATGGAGGAGAGCTTGGAGGTGAAGGGGGCCGCGATGCTGGCATCACCCAGCTTCACCACCGGCACGCGGTCCTCCTCCAAATCCTTCAGCACCTGACTGATCCGCTCCTGCAGGGCAGAAGAGAAAGGCACGTTGCACACCTTCACAGCGCTGCCCTCCCCTCTTCCTTCTTTCAAGCCAAAGAGAAGTCCTTGTGCTCACAGCACAGCTGTAGGATCTCTCCAGTAAAGCAAGGAGCTGCTTTTCTCCATCCCCAGCAGCACACCAAGAAGGAAAGAAAAGCATTAGTGGGATTTTTGACATCTCATTACCGACCCTCTGCACGGCCAGCTGCTCCTCTCGCTGGGACATGACTCTGTGCTTGGCACCACGCGACGTGGGCTTCACCGTCCCGCTCCCCAGCGGTGCTGCAGCGGGCCTGGACTCACTGGGACCATCCCGAGGCCTCTTCTTCCTCTCAGGCAGTCTCTCAGGAGCGTTGGCCAGCAGAGCCACTCCTGAAATAAGCAAAACATGATCTGTGGGGTGGAATGCTGCGCTCCCTTTGCTGGCAAACGGGAATCCTGACGGCGATCTACGCGTGCAGCCAGTTATGGAGTGACTGCAAGCCTCTCACACTGGTTGAAATAAAAAAGCTTTGAAAAGAGAAAAGGGAGAAGGGAGATTTAGGAAGAATCTCCCTTCCATAAAGATGTGTTTGCAGCCAAATCCCACTGCTTGCTTGTACGTGCACAGCAGGTATTCCACCAGCACAGAGATCCTTCTTTATCTCGCTTTCTGCCCCTGAACGATGTTGGTCAGATCAATTCCAGCCCCAAAACAAGAGAAATTAACATCGATTTTGTGTTTAGGAACTGCCACCAAACTCAGTGGCGCTCACATGGGCGTCCTGCAGTGCACTCACCCACATCTGCGTGTTTCAGAGCTCCGACGTCGTTGGTCCCATCCCCACACATCAGCGTGACGTAGCCCAGGCTCTTCAAAGTAGTGATCACAAACTCCTGCCCAAAAGAACTGTGTGGTGAGAATTGGCAGAGCAGCTGAGCTGGATGATGCGCCTTGGCTGAGCGCTGCTGTGTGGTGGGAACTCATTGCCTTCCAAGCCACGCTCCAAAAGGTTCACCCTAGGTCTTAATTTTAGGAGCTAAAAGGGCCCAGTGCCTTCAGGATAATGACAGCCCACATCCTGAGCTCTGTTTCTTGCTGCCAGCTGGCTCGGAATAGCGCGAGAGGTTTTGCTCGTTGGCTGATAACAGCTTTAGCATTAATCATGAGCGACGCTGCTGCTGCTGCTACCCACCAGATGATCCCCACGGGTAAACCAGCAAAATGTGGGTTTTATCACCTCTCACCTTCTGCTTCGGCACCACTCTGGCAAACACTTGGACGTGCGGGATGAGCCGCAGCAGCTGCTGTCTGTTCAGAGCCTGCAGGTGAGAGAGACCTTCCCCTGTCACGCAGAGGTCGTAGCGCTGCGTCAGCTCCCGCAGGGAGGTGGGCAAAATGGGGAACACGATGGCACCGTCGATGGACTGCCACTGCCAGGTGGAATCTGCAAAGAGAAGCTCTCATCGTATCCCAGCGTGGAGAGGGACAGAGGACAGAGGGTTATCTGGGACTTTGGAAAGCAAACGAGCCCTTTTCGTTATCGGCATCAAGCAGCCGTGCTTGTAGTATGGGACTGCAGTGCTCCAGGAGGGATTTGGCTGCTGAAGCCACTGCTGCATGAAATCAGTCACCTTTGCTGGCAGGAGGCTGCAGAATGAGTGTGTGTTCCCTCTGGAGGAAGTGCAGCTCCCTGGCCACGTGGCAGGCGGTCAGAGGGTTGTCTCCTGTTATCATCACTACCTGAGGGGAAAGTACAAGAGGTCAGTGTCATTTCTGTGGGCACTGAGAAGAGTTCTGCCCAGCAGAGATCCTGGAGATGTTCCCTATGAGGTGTAGCTCAGTGAGGCACCTTCAAGAAAGGCTTTTTCTCCAGGCCACAGCAAATCCCATTGCAAAAATAACACCACATCCACGCTGCTTCCCTGCCTTCATCACCGGGAACCCTTTGCCTTCACTCCAAAGGCACCAAAATTCCACATCCCGAGCTGCCAGCGAGGCCAGGATGTCGCTGCCTGCGATGCTTACGTGGTGCGACGCGTTCTGGATCTCCCTGATGACGGATCTGGAGTCCGTTTTGAGAGGGCAGGAAACCACAATGAAGCCAGCAAAGCGAAGGTCACACTCCAGAGCTTCACGCTTCATCTCTCGCACCTGCCACAGCAAAATGGGGGAAAACCCTTTGATTCTGTGATTGATTTTGTGATTGATTTGGTGAAAACTGGAGCACCGCCCGATGCTTTGCTGTTTTGTCTGCTGGTGGGTGCTTCTTTGCGACAAAAGCATCAGCTGGGAGAAAATTTGTGCTCTGAGAAGCACAGAGCAGTCCCAGCTCATCCCCAGCTGCTCTACAGGGCAGATCTCTTGGAGATAAAGCTGAAGAGATGGCCCTGAAAAGCGTTGTGCATTCTCATCCCCATCTAACAGGAGGTTTGCAGGTAAGAAGTTCAGCGCTGGGCTTCCACGAGGGAAGAGCTGCTGCTTTACAGACAGGAAAGCAGAAGTATTGCTTGGTGAAGATAAAACTGGGAGCACCTCACTGAGGCCGTGCTCTTCCCAGAAGGTCCAAATTATAAACAGCAACGCAGTTATGACAGCTTTGGGCATCCACAAACCCAAAGATCTCCCCCCAGTCTTCCACAACCAAGCTCACGCCATCTCTCTTTTGCTTTAAGAGACCGAAGGATTTAAGCTCCATTTTTTTTTTCAATCTGAAGGCTGAAAAAGAAAGCATACCTGCTGGTGAGTGAGGTGCCCCAGTTCCTTGTAGCCCAGGGCCAGCACTCGTGCCCCCTCGTGTGAGATTTCAGTGTGCACAGCGTGGTAATTGCTTGGGCACTGAGATAACTGGAGAAAATGGGGGGGAAAAGTCACATTAACGCCGTCATGAAGATGTAGAGTGTTCCAGTATTAAATACGGTGAGGGGAGGGGTCCTGTTCAAACAAGAGCAAAAGTGGAGGAACCACTTGTGCCAGCAGAAGGCGTGGGGTATGAGCAGAGGGCAGAATCCCCACACCGCACTGGGGTTGGGCTGGAATTCCCCCTCTCCTCCAGTGGGCTTTGGGCTCAAGGCACGTTCTTCACAAAGACAAAATCCCCATGTCCTGAATCCAGCTTCTAGGGTAAAATTCCCACATCCTATGACTGGATTTCAGGACAAAATCCCCTCATCCCAAGCTCAGGTTCCAGGACAGAATCCGTCTGTCCCACATCCAGCTATTAGGGCAAAATCCCCACATCCTGCATCCAGGTTCCAGGACAGAATCCCTCTGTCCCACATCCAGCTATTAGGGCAAAATCCCCACATCCTGCATCCAGGTTCCAGGACAGAATCCCTCTGTCCCACATCCAGTTATTAGGGTAAAATCCCCATACCCTCTATCAGGGTTCAAAGACAAGATCCTTCTGTCTTGCCTCTCCAAAAATCTCCATGTCCCGAATCCGGGTTCTAGGACAAAATCCCCACACCCAGGTTCCAGGACAAACTCTCTACATCCCAAATCCGGCTTCCAGGACAAAAACCCCCCAATCCCACCACATCCAGTTTCCAGACTCGGTGGGTTGAAAGCGAGGTATGAAGCCCACGTGCCACAGAAGGCCCTCGGTGTCCTGGAGAGCTGCGCTCACCATTTTGTGCAGCGTCTCCGGGGCCCCTTTCACAGCTGCAATGTAACAGAGATCAGCGGCGCCGATCTTCTCGTACGACGCCAAGACAGACATTCTTTTCAGGGCACTGGCAAAATGAAAGCGCTGGTGAATTTTCAGTCCCTGAGTTTTAATACTTCTGGAGAAAACTTTCTCATCTGGAAACAAAGAGATCAGGAAATCCTGAAAGGTTTCTCAGTAGCAGAAGCAACATCCCTCCCCTTCGGGTCCCGGTCACGATTCCATTGCTGCAATGCGAATCCCACCCCCAATGCATGGAGAACTATTAGAACTAAAGGCACCACCCAGAGTGGGAATACCCACAGCCCTGAGAGTGGATTTCTGCTATTCACTGTCCCCTAAATCTGCAGCATGAGGATCTCTGCTGCCCCAAACGCGCCTCGGAATTTGCTATTTGCAAGATGTCAGCGTGAGGCGTGGGAAATGGCCGCAGATCCGGTAATTCTACGCTCAGATCTGGCAAAAAACAGCCATCCATCCTCCATGAACAAAGGCATAAAGGTGTCTTTTTTTTTTACCTTTGGTCAGGGTCCAGTCCACCGCCGTCAGCATCGCCTTCTCCAACGGATCCCCCACCAACGTCCCATCATCCAACTGCACGAGCGAGTGGCACGTAGCGATGGCTCGGTGGGTTTCTATAGGGATGTCAGAGACGGGCATCACTTCCTTCCCATCCCTGCAGCACAACAAAGAAGAAGGCTGTGTTAACAGCCCCGTTTCGATGCTCTGAAACAGATTTGGGGATTTTTCCCAGCCTATTCTTCCCCCCTAGAATTCATATTCTGTGATGGCAAACAGCAGAGCTACTCATGGCAAGGTGTGGGAAGCCCAGCTCTGCTGGCCAATGCCCATCATCTCAGCCGCTTCTCCAGAACAGATCCGAGCAGAGCACTCCAAAAAAGGAGCCCGAATTAACACACGTAAACAGCCACGCAATAAAAGGGGCCGAGAGATCTCTGTGCTCCGAGCGCTGCGGAAACAAACGAGGAAACCAGAAGGATTCAATTCAGGCACCCACCTGAGCCCGGCCACTCCTCTCACCACCAGGTGGTCGCTGGTCAACGTGCCGGTTTTGTCAAAGCAGCAAACCTCCACTTTGCCCGCAAAGGGGATGCGGAAGGGCTCTGTGCAGTACACATCTCAGAGGGAGAAGAGGGAAATTCTGTTACAGGTCGGCTGGTGCAAAGCAGGGAGAGCTCAGCGGCTTTTCAACGCGAGGCAAAAGGTATCAATGCGGTGCTCGGAGTCAGTGAGCTCCCCGCTCTGAATTTCTGTGGTGTTTTAAAGCCAATTTGGCAGCAAAGCCGTCCCACGCTGAAGATGGTGAATTTCCTCCTGCACACATAGGAAGCTGCTGAGCACGCGGGCATTCATGTCAGCACTTTGGTTTGGCTCTTTTTGGACCCCCTTGAAAGCACAAACCCTCGGTTCTCCCCTTTGGGGTTGAAGCAAGCCCCTTTCCCACCCACCAGCTCCAAACATCGCATCGGATACCACCGCAGTGCAGAAACGGAGGAGCTGACAGCAATTTCACACCCACCAACATCCCCCACAGTTCCAGATGTACGAATCAATCGCAGAATCACACAGCTGGGAGGGCTTGGAAAGACCCTCCAAAGGCAGAAGCAGCCAGCATTTTGTTTCTGCCTTCTGTTTGGTACTCACAGAGTTTGGCCAAAGCGATGAGGGAGGTGTTGACGGCCAGGGAGAGCTCGATGGGAAGCTCAGGTGGAACAACGGACGTCAGTATCAACGTGCACTCGAGGAAGAGCTTGTAGCGATTCCTGCTGGGATCCTTGGTGCCTGTGGGGTGAGAGAAGTCCTGTGCCTCCTGCCCCACAGAACGAAGGGCAGCGCCCCAGAGAAGCACACCTACTTAGCAGGAGCTGTGGGAGGCCGAGAAAAGCAGCCAGAATGCAGTGTAGGCCATACAGAATCACAGAATCACAGAATCACCCGGGTTGGAAGGGACCTCAAGGATCATGGAGTTCCAACCCCCCCTGCCTGGCAGGGCCACCAAACATCCACATTCAGATCAGGTTGCCCAGGACCCCGTCCAACCTGGCCTTGAACACGTCCAAGGACGGGGCATCCACAACCTCCCTGGGCAGCCCGTTCCAGGGCCCAACCACTCTCCTAGTAAGGAACTTCCCCCTAACATCCAACCTAAATCTTCCCTCCCTCAACTCGGATCCATTTCCCCTCGTCCTGCTGTTATCAGCCCTTTTGAAGAGTTTACTCCCCTCCTGGGTGTGGGTTCCCTTCAGGTATTGATAGGCTGCCATGAGGTCACCCCGCAGCCTTCTCTTCTCCAGGCTGAACAAGCCCAACTCCCTCAGCCTGTCCTCATAGGGGAGCTGCTCCAGCCCCCTGATCATCTTAGTACCCTGAAAACCGGAGCAGCCCAACCCAGCTACACTCTCAGAAATTACACCTATCCTTCCCACAGCTCTGGGCCAGGTGCTGTGAGGAGGCGAGGAAGCAGCTCACCTTCGATCCAGACGTACGACGCGGCAGCGACGGCGAAGACCAGCAGGAAGAGGATGAAAATGAAGGTCTCTAAATTATTGGCTGTCACTCTCTTCACCCCGAAGAGGATTGTACGTAGCAACTTCCCCTGAGGAGAACAGCCTTCAGTGCAAGAAGCCAGCTCTGCAGCATGCACTGCTTTGTTAGAAACGTGTACAAAACCCAGTTTTACAATCACACTCCGCTGTTTTGGTCCCAGCTCTGTAACCCTCCAAAGAACCAGCAACCTTCAGTCCCCCACCCCACTGATCTGTCAAAACACCAAACCCGTTCTTCAGTCCCTCTTCACCATTGGTTGGGGGTTGGACTCGATGATCTCTACAGGTCCCTTCCAACCCCTACAATTCTGTGATTGCTTTTAAGGATCCTTACGTTTTCTATCCACCTCCAAAAAAGGAAAACCTGACGTTGGCAACAGCAGCCCTTGTGAACGTGCTCCAATTACCCTTTTCTGACCATAATCACAAAATACGTGGAGCTTAAATTTCCATACAAAGCCTGAACCCTAAAACCTGGCTGCCATGCTCCTGCACCGCGCACCACCCCGCTCCTTTGGCACGCTGCCTTTGTTCCTCTCCCACCCACATCACTGCCATGCCCCCATTTCCATCCCCCACTGCTCCCTCACTCCTGAAAGCACCGTATGAACACCACGAGGGAGCTGACAGAGGTGAGCAGGCATGCACACATCTTACCTGAGACGTGTTGAAGCCGGTCCTCAGAGCGTACGCCACGCATCCGTTGTCAACAGCTGGAATGGGAGCAAGATTGAAGGCCGTGAGCTTCTGACTGCCTTCTGTCTACTGTCTTTTATCATAGAGAAATTATGCTCAAAGCTTTGCGTTCCTCTCGCTTGCAAGGGAATAAAGTCAAACTTGAGGAGGAACTAACAGCAGTCTCACTATTGCAGTGCATGAGGTTGAGGAGAGCGACTCAATAACCGCCTCCAAAGGTTGCATTGAGCCCCATTAATTAATCCACGAGCATTTCATGCCCTCTCACACAGGGAATTTGCACGGGTACGTACGTTTCAGTCCCGTGCTGGCTTTCTGGGGTGGGATGTGCTGCACCACCTTCGTTCCACCAAATATGATGTGCAGCCGGGCATCCGTCTGCATGTCCAAAACGTGCTCTGGGCTGAGGTCCTCCACAGGCTCCTGCAGGACAATGCTCAGCTCTCAGGTTCACTGCTATTGACAAGTCAATGTGGAGCGCTCCTCTCTTTCCGCGTCCCACGTGAGGCGCCCTCAGCTTCACTCCAGCTAAAAGCAGCCCGAGGAGAACCCAGGAATTCACATGCTCTGGATTTGGAGCCAGACATCCCAGTGTGGGAGATGCAGTTCCCCCTCGGCACAGCGAGTTCAGCGAGGGAGGCTCTGAGATCGCTCCTTTATCATCTCTACATCCCCCCCTCGGTGCACCAAGAAGGGTTTTGAAGTTCTTTACGCTTTATTCCTCCCACCTCCACCCAACCAGAAGAATTCAGACAGGGGAATGCGTGGGAGGACAACGCCATGCCTTTGTAGTTCTGCCTCCAAGACTGGAGACGCAGCCAGAGCAAGCAGGCCTCCAGTTCTCATTTACCAGAAATCATCCATCGCTGGCAGGGAGATGAAAACAAGCAGGCCAGGCTGCTCACGCCAGCACACACACAGACAGACTGACAACGTGCACCTGACTGCAACGCCTTCGATATTTCTATTTTCCAAGCAGGACAAAACAGAATTGTTTCACACAGACCTTCATCTGCGGCACAGACTCTCCGGTCAGCATCGCTTCGTCCACAATGCACCTCCCGCGTAGGAGCAGCACATCACACGGCACGAGGTTTTCGTGAGGAGATCGGCCTGCCACGAAGACAATAAAACTCAGGAGCTGAGAGACAGAAGCGACGCGTGGCTGGCTGGAAGGGAACAGCTCTCCTTCCGTTTAGCTGAGATACAGAAGGCTCCTAAAGGTCTGAATCACCCCTGGGCTGCCAACTCCATCCCTTGACTCCGTGTCTCAAATAACCCCAAAGGTTATTTGGCCTCTGGTGAGGCTGGAAAAGTTCCCAATTCAAATCATTTCGTTCCCACTGACGCTTCAAAGACGGGGAAAGAGCCTTTAAAAGGGAAGCACAGCTGAGACAGAGCCCTGCCATTCCTTCCCCCCTTCCTTCCCAGGGAGGTGCTGTCAGCAGGAAGGAAACTCTTCATCTTCCCCCACGATTTATCTAGAGATCTACCTTCCTTCAAGACAACAAGAAGAGATCCAACTCTTAGAACCCCTCAGCTGTGGCACCGATGAACCAAAGCCCTCAAAAGTGCCCAAAACCAGGATGGATTTTTCGGTATTTGGGTATTTTTACACTGTGTGATTTCACTCAATGTCACTTCAAGAGTCAGGAGGAGCGCAGTTTTAAAACAGCTTTGGATCACGGGAAGCATTACCAATGGAGACGATATCCCCCGGGATGATCTCGTCGCTGGAAATGGGCCTCCACTTCCGATTTCGGTAGACCTGTAGAAA